TTAAACGGGATCAGCCGCAGGACAGAGCCCTGGGGGACCCCGCTTGTCACTGGCCACCATCCCGATGATTCCGCACCAATGGTTACCCTCTGCTTTCGGTCAGTCAACCATGCCCTAATCCACCAGACAGTGCTTTGGTGTATCCCAAAACTCCTCAGTTTCTCCACCAGGATATCATGGGGCACTTTGTCAAAGGCCTTGCTGAAATCCAGGTCAACCACATCCACTGCACCCCCTCCATCCAGCCACCTCGAAACCTTGTCGTAGAATTCCACAAGGTTTGTCTGGCAGGACCTGTTTTTGCGGAAGCCGTGTTGTGTGGCCGCCAGCCTCCCTTCCCTATCTAGCATCACTAGATCTCTCGCTATTATGAGCCTCTGGAACTTCACCCATTCTCCATGAGGCCTCAAAAATGGAGGCCAGCAGGCGTGAGAGGACCCTTGCCAACTCTCGAAGTACTCTCGGGTGTAACCCGTCAGGGCCTGGCGCCTTTGTAATGTCCAATGCCCTGAGGAGCCCCTCGACTTCAAGGAGGGTGACTATAATCAGTGCCCCTAAGTCCCCGGCCTCATCTAATCTCCCATGCAGATCTCCCCCGTCCTGCTTTGGGGAGAACACAGAGGCAAAATAGTCATTTAGCATCTGTGCCTGTTCCCTCATATCAGTCACTGGATCTCCTTCATCCTTATTCAGTGGTCCCACCACTTGTCTCCCCTTCCTCTTCCTATTTACATGCTGAAAGAAGCCCTTTTTGTTGCTCTTGATATTCTTGGCAAGTCTCAGCTCATAATCAGCCTTAGCCTTGTGAAGAATCCTTCTGCAACGGGCCTCCTCCTCCCAGTATATCCTTTTGTCTATTTGCCCCAGTTCCCATTTCCTACGGAGGCTCCTCTTGCGTCTAATCCCTCTGACCACCTCCTTTCGCATCCATGGCGGCGCTCTCCTCCGCCTCCCCCCATTACTGACTAGAGGTATCGTCAAGGCTTGCGCCTCCAAAACCTCCCTTTTGAGTGCTATCCACCCCTCCTCAACTTGCTTACCTTCCAGTAACCTGTCCCAGGAGACTTCCCCAGTCTGGCCTTCAGTTGGCCAGAGTTGGCCCTCTTGAAGTCCCAGCTTCTAGTGCTCGACCTGCTGCCCGTCCGCAGTCCCCTGATCTGAAAGCAAAGGATGGAGGGATCACTCGCATCCAGAGCTCCCCTAATCTGTACTTCATCTATCAGCTCCTCCCTATTGGTCAAGACCAAGTCAAGGATGTTTCCCCCCCTCGTCACCTCTTGGACCCTCTGTGTGAAAAACCCTCCCTCTATAGCTTCTAGGAAGCGACGTGACCTGGCCGTCACTGTTGAGTGAGTCTCTCAACTAATATCCGGGAGATTGAAATCTCCCATAATTACTGTGTCTCTCCCCCGAGATATCCTTAGAATCTGGCCTGTCAGGACATCATCCAGGGTCTCAAGTTGACCTGGAGGGCGATAACATACCCCCACTGTCAGGTCTCTTTCCCTGTCAAAACCCCTAAGTTCCACCCAGACTGCCTCTACCGAATCCCCATCTGTGCTGCATTCTATCTCACTGCATCCTGTCCCTTCCCTGACATATAAAGCCAAGCCCCCACCCCTCTTTCCCTTTCTGTCCTTTCTAAAAAGGTGATACCCTTCTATGTTCACGTTCCGGACTTGCCTTTCATCCCACCAAGTTTCTGTGATCCCCACCAGGTCATACCCTCCTATTCCCAGGAGAGCTTCAAGCTCTTCCTGCTTATAACCCATGCTCCTAGCATTGGTGTACATGCACTTCAACTCTTTCCCACCGCTTCCTTTCCTTGGAGTTCCCAGCCTCCTCCTTCCTCCCATCCTCCCTGATACCTGGCCCTCTCTGTAGGAGTCCTGTCAGTCCCTGCAGTGCCTCTAAAACCCTGCTCCCAGAGCCCTGCTCCTTTCCCCACACTTGTTCGGTGCAGACACATTTCTGGGGGCCTGACCCCCGCCCCCCCGGGCTCAGTTTAAAATCTTTCGGACAAAGCTCACTAGAGCATCTCCAAAGGACCTTTTCCCCATCCTTGTGAGGTGTAACCCGTCCCTTGCCAGAAGTCCATTGGCAAGAAACCGGGTGCCGTGGTCAAGGAACCCGAAGCGTTCCTTCTGGCACCGCACCCTAAGGCAGTCGTTCACCTCGGAGACCCTCCTGCCCCTTCCGGGCCCAAATCCCCAGACCAGTAAGATCGACGAGAAGGCCACTTGGGCCTTTAGCTCCCTGAGTTCCTTCCCGAAGGCCTCGGAAGTCCCTAGTGATCCTGACCACCCCCTGCCTGGCCACATCTTTTGTGCCCACATGGATCACCAGGAGCGGCTGGTTGACCCCCGGAGCGAACAAAACGCTCCACTCTGTCCTTCACATGCTGGATGCGTGCGCCCGGCAGGCAGCAGACCTCCCTTGTCTCCAGGTCGGGGTGGCACACCGCCGGCTCAGTGCCCCTCAGCTGGGAGTCCCTGACAACGATCACCTGCCGCCGTGTCTTCCCGGTGGCGGCGGGCGGCCGTGCCCTGGCCCTCGCCTCTCCTGCAGCGGCCCCCTTGCCACTTGTCGTCGTAGGCTGGGGGTCCTGCTGGTCCCCCGAGGCCTCATCAGCCCCAGCCTCCCAAGTGGAGAGAACCTGCTTCCCGGCTCCAGATCGGCAGCAGGAGAGGCCTCCTGTGGGTGACATGCCTTCATGCCGCCCCGGCTGTTCTTCCCATGACCCCCCCCCCAACCCTCTGTCTGGAGGGAGACTTAAAGGCCATCTGGGCTTACACACCGGGCCCTGTTGCACACGTGCTCTGCTCTGGGGGCCCATCTGGGCGCAGGGAGCAGGGCCACATGGCGAGAGGAAGCTGGAGCGCAACATACAGATGTTGCCTTAATGGTCACTGCTCCTGAACAAAGGAATTTCAAAAGCCGTTACGCGTGTGGAGTCCATCAAGAACCCTGCTCTGTTCCCTGTCGAGTGAGTAAGGACAAAGGTGGTTGGTTTGGTTTTAGTCCCTTAGTCCAAGGTGTCAGTGCAATTAGCCAGCAGCTGGGAACGGCACCAGTGGAGCAGCGGTTAAGAGTGCTGGACTCAAGCCGCCCGGGAGCCAGCTGGGTGAGGCTGGGCCAGTCCCAGACTCTCAGCCCAGCCTGCCTCACAGGGCGGCCGTGGTGGAGAGAAGACGGGGGGCAGCAGGAAGAGAATGAGGCAAGCTGCTTTGTGTTCTTTAAAAGAGAACGGGTGGGATATAAATCAAATATCCTGTGGCGCCAGAGCAGAATGGAAGCAAAGGGTGGCTCAGCAATCCTTCCAGAGACTGGGGACCAGGGTCCCATCAGGGCCCAAGTTCAGGGCCCCACTCAACTGGTGGAAGATTTAGGACAGAGAGAAGGGCCGTGTCCGACTGGTGGTTTCCCACAGGTTGCGAACTGGTCACTGGGTGAACCGATTGCTGGACATGATGGGCCCTTGGGTGCGATGCTTGCCCGAGAGCAGCAGCATCACATCCGCTGCGCACGGATGCAGTTCCACATGCAAAACCAACTTCATGGGAAAGGCAGAGTAATGTTTATTTGGGGACAGGCAGGTTGATTTTTACACAGCATTTTGCTGTTTTCTGCTTTTTGTGCTAAATACAATGCCGTAAAAACATTGGCCAAAATCCAGGTTGGCTCCTCCTGGATTCAGCGCCCCTGCATTATTGGAAGTACCAATTGTGGGTGACAAGTTTCAGCTCCCTGCATAATTGTCTTTTATCGCTGAACCAATATGATGCGCAGGGTCCCAGCCAAAAATGGACTAATGAACCAGAACACGGTTTTGCCCCATCAGTGGAGTGCCTCATTGTTACCTATTTGGGAAGGGGTCCGGGATATACCCGTAACGCAGCAACAACTGTTTCAAGTAGATTTGGTGTCACAAGGTCTCTCTCTCCGAGCTTCATTAAATCAGCCTATTGCTAGATACAACCCAGTCAAGCTTTTCCTCTCCTGCAATGCCCGGTGGCAGCTTCCTCAGATGATTCTTGCGATGGAAAGTTCTTTAATATTCAAGGATACAAATTATCTTTTGAATTACTTTCCTATCTCTTTGAATTCAATGCAAGGTCAATGCAAATAGGTTTCCCAGGTCCTTTTTATGGCTAAAAGACCAATACTACAACACTGGAAGAAAAAAAGTATTTGACATAACATGACCGTGGGTGAAGGGTTTAACGTGAGGTTTGATTTTTGGACAAGTGGCTTTTGCATGCAATTTGGAAATTGGATACTTTGTGGCTTTGGGGGCTGCCTTTGTTGAAGTATATGACTTTTCAGTCATAGTAGAATGTTCTGTCATATATTCACCCATGGGGTATATAATGTGTGTGTAATTAGTGCTTCAGTCCTATCCAAAATTGTGACGTTTAGGGGCAGCTCCAGTCATGGATCCTGCAGGTGAGTCCACATGGCTACTTTTCTTGCAGGAGCAAATACTATGAAGGGCCAACCTTGCAGGGAGGCGGCACACCTGCAGCCAGGGGGAGTGTGGGCGCATCCCTGGGGTGATACCAGACTGGGCACTTCACTGATTTGCTTCTCACAAAAAATATTTTCCTGAAGATGTGCTTAGGAACCTGAGCTGCTACCAACTGGCTAATTCACTGAGATTCCATTTTATGACTGAGTCAGACTAAGCCGCAGCTTTCATAGCCAAACACCTGGCTAAATTTTTGAAAGTTCCTTTCCTCCCATTTTTTGTACCGCAAGGCCTGATGAAGAGGTCTGGAAAACTCAAGTGCTGCAGAATTTTGGTTGTCTCTTGTAATGACCCAGATTGGGAGCATCGCTGCCCATTTTGGAAACAAATCCCTGGGCATCCGCCATACTGACCCAGCAGGACTCGCTCCGCTGCCCTGTCCTCACGTCTAGGGGAGGCTCAGCGGCCCTGCATCGCCCCTCACGAATTGCAGCAATGAACCTGGATCCAAGATTGTCGGACACAAAAGGCGTTGCTACACTCTTCCCGTTTAATAGACATTGTAAAATAAAAATCTGGAATTCACCAACGTTCACTAGTGACAGACAGTGCAATTTCTAGACAAGGTACAATTTTGGTAGCCTGTTCTGTTCAACTTTTTAGAGACAGAGACAATCACTGCTTTCTTCATAATACAATGAATCAAAGACTACATTCAGTCATCGCAAGTCGATACCCTTCTAGTAAAACAGATGCACAAAATAGCTCAATATTGGATTAGTCTGTTTTTAATTTTATAAAAAAATATATATGGATTACTCTAAATGATTGTTACAGGATCAAGTTCTCGTTTTGCTATCCTTGTGCACATTATGTTCAGACCATTCATCTTTATGGCAACTTGGAAGCATTTATACAATATGCAAACACTCAACATGTTAAATGGAGAGAAAAAAATATAATGTGCTTTAAATTTGAATCTCTGCCTCCCTACCAGAGATAGTTTTTTGGTTCTTCAGGTACTTCAAGCCATATAAATATATAGATATACAGATACAAAAATAGAGGGGAAGGTCCTCTTTTCAAACAAGCAGCCTAAGAAGGCTCCATCAAGCTTGCTGCAGGCAGGCACTGCCTTGAGTTAAATATATACCTAAAATATTTGTTCTTTATTTTAATACAAATTTGTTAGTTGGCAGCAGCCCTTTCTCCCCATGGCAGCAATTTTCCATCGGGGTAAGGCATAATGAAAAGTCATCACCGATTTCCTCTTTGCAGGAATGACCAAACAGATTTGTGAGCCAAAGAAAATGGCCCTAACAGTGGTCCTTAGATACCACTTAGCAATTTTACAGAAATCGTTTAAAATGAAATCTGGAGCACCTACAATCTACAGCCAGCCCACGTGCTTCACTTCCCATTTGGCTATAAACTCTTGGTATCCTCCAAGATTAAGTTTCCCTGTGAACTTGTGCAGGACGAGAGGCTGAGAAGACAATAGCCAGGCCCAAATGCTGCTCCTGCAGAAAAAACGAATTTCAGCAGGAGACGCGCATGGCCAAACGTGAAACCGGTTTGGAGTTTCTGGAAGATTCTTACCAAAATAGGCTTCTTTTGCAGCAGAAACAAAGTTCAGAAAGCCTCCATCCCAGGACATGTTCGTGTAATACCTACCTACTAACCTATCTTGTTCCATGGATGTTAAGAATACTTTCCTCATTGATTAAAGCAGAGCTTTGCACTCTGCGTGCTCTGGAATGGCCCTTCCACCTGTCCCGATGAAAAGAACCAGCAACGAACGGCAGGGGGTCAAATGCAGCCGTGGTGCTGAGAGCTTAGTGGCAAGCATCCGTTAGCAGCCTTCTGCTACAGCTGAGCTTTCGCACGTTCCAGTTCCCCCTCAGCAGTCCAGAAATGACTACCCCTCCTTGGACATCCTTCCCGTTTGCAGCCTCTGTTCCCCACTGTAGAGCACACCTCTCTTTGCCCACACACAAGTATTAACAGTACGATGTACGCAGAATCCCTGCTTTTCTTTGCAAAACGATATAAGGAAACAGATGCAGAGTCTGCAAAAAATAGGAGGTCACACCAGTTACGAGGCGAGGTAAAGCAAAGGTGCAGTTTCACTGACAGAAAAATAATTTAACTCCCAAACATGAGAAAGAAACGTTGCAAGCCTTCGTGAATGGGGGAAGAGGAGATCTTTGGGGTGACTCTTATTTACAGAAGCAGCAAACCCCGGGGCAGTGCAGTGTTGGTTACCGGACAGACAGACACTGTTAAGTCAACAAAGCTGCGAGGTATATCTAACGCCAGAGAGGAAGGGCAAGCTGGAAGACAGAACCATCTCCGGAGCCTCCAGTATTCCCAGGTGCCTGCTTAAAGCGAGGGAACGCCTTCTGCAGGTCTTTTCAATGGCCACAAGCCCCGCCACCCTTTTGCAAGCACTGGGCATCCTGAGAAAAGCATGGCCTGTGCTTTGGAAAGGAATTGCCAGGGCTCTTTCAAGAAGCAACGCCGCCTGGACATCAAAGAGGTCTGCCTTGTTTGCATTTTTCTGCTTGTGCTAACACGAAGGTTTGGAGAGAAGACAAAGGCAGTGCCTGCTGGGTGCCAAGGGACAGAGGGCGTGCTTGCTGCCGCCACCGCCGCACGAGGCCCAGCAGCCCCGGAGGGGCAGGAGAGAAATCGGCTTGGAACCGGAGGGGAAAGGGGCACCGAGGACACCGCAGTGAGCTTTCGTGCCTCGATTGGCACATGTAGGCATGCCGGAGGGTTAAAGGAACGCCGTGGTCTCGGCGACCGCATCCCAGAGGAGGAGGAGAGTGGGAGGCAGCCTGTGGTGACTCATGGCCCAAGGGGAGGGGAACAAATCCAGGGCTCCAGCTTCTCGGGACCAGCCCTTTAGTGCTGGCCAGCCTCCCGGATCCGGCACGCCACGGCGGTGATGAGCGCTGCGCCTTTGCCACTGCCGTCTTCGGACTGCAGGAAGGTCACCTCACACTTGGGCGAAAGTTGCTTCACGGTTTCGTTCATTATGGTGGAGAAGCTGCAGACAAAGCGGGGAAAGTGAGGGTCATGCAAAAGCGGCCCCCAGGTTTTCTCCTTTGCGGCTCTGTTCCCTGTTAGTCCCTCTTTTATGCTGTTCTTAAAAGCATGCACAGCTTGCATTCCTTTTCTGTTTCCCTTTCCTGCACTTACCTTGGCAATCATAAAAACTGCAGGCCTTCTAATCCTAAATTTGTCCATAGGCAATAAGGAAGAATTGCAAAGAAGCTTTGCTCCTCTTTGCTTCTTACTACTCCCAAACATACAGATTCAAAAGCGACCCTTGCACTTTGTTTCATACAACGCTCTGTGAGCCACCTTGCCTGCTGCAAGCTTGCACCGGTGCAGGCAGTCCAAATCCTGTGAAAACTGAGAGGGGTCGCTATTTTGCTTCCAGCGCTCTTGACAGGGAAGGTATAATGGGGATTCTAGTGGGGAACGAGGTTGAAATGCCTCCGTCTACCCACAGCCCCTAAGATTTCCCTCCCGTGCATTTTCACTCATACCATTCCAGCGGTTGGGACTAGAAACTCGCTTGGAATCGAGCATGGGACACAAGCAAGCACTTCCCCCAGTCCAGCTTCTTTCCTTGTGGCCAGCCAGCACTGAGCACACCTGCATGGAATCACAGCTTGTGCGACAGTGAGGTTTGCACACAAAACCCTCCACAGAGCGGGGCATGCGGTGGCCGCATGCGGGAGCCGTGGCGCCTCGTTGCCCACACACAGCGCATCTCTTTCCACCTCTGCCCCCCAGCCCTGGGCAACCTCCCTGCAGTGCAGGACTCACTGTGGGTGCAGCTTGTAGAGGGTGCCGTCCACACCAACGGTGACCTTGAAGAAGTCCAGTCCGCGGTTTTCCCGGATCTTGTCCACCACGGCCGCCATCCCCGCTCCGCAGAGCTGGGCGGCACGCCGGGCGATCACGGTGCACACCTCCTTCACGATGATGCTGTCGTCGCACGTGCTGTCCAGGCCCAGGTGCTGCAAGATGGATCGCACCTGGAGCAGGGCGAGGCGGTCGCTGGAAGGACAGACGGGGCACTCAGCTCAGGGACATGCGGGCAGGGCAGGGGCCAGCTTGCTTGCCACCACCAAGCAGCGGGACGGGGGCTGCCCCTTGTTCCGGCCTCCAGAAATTAAGAGGCACTGTGCAGAAGTAACAATGGGCGGCGGATGCGAAACACTGCAGAGGCGCCTCGACTAGTGTTGGAGCAGGTAAGCGCCTGCCTGGGGACTCTGTTCGAAAAACCAGGAACCACACACTCCGAAGACTGGCCTGGCCAGTGCACTGGAATAAGGTCAGCGCTGCGTATTTCTGGAAGGCACAGTGGCAGCTCAGGGTCTGGGATCGGATCTTGTTCTGCCCAAAGGGGCACCACCAGGAGCTCTTCAGCGAAGGCATTTATTCCTGCCATTCATGCACATTTTATGGGGGACCCCTACTGCAGGTAAGTGGGCTTCAAAAAGAAGAAGAATGCAACAGCACTCGAAACGACCGGGGGCACAACAGCCAATTGCGACCTGCAGGCACTCGCCGCGGAACCCACGGCGTGCCCGCAGGAAGAGTCCAGAAATGAGGGCAGCCGGGTTGATGCACACCAGCAAGTCCATCCTGGGAACTGTCGCCTCCCGCAGCAGCCGGTCTTCCGTAAGGGAGGTTCCTCTCCACCCCTCCTTTGAGACCGAATACTGTGCCTTTTAGGCAGGAACGGGGTGCTTGTTGTTCCTGGGGAGACATGGTTCCCATTCAGCTACTGTGAGAATTGCAGCTTTGCTCAGAGGGCAGTTTTTTGGCGGGGGAGACGATGTCGTGATGCCAATCAAAAAGTGCCGATTCACACAATGCCTTAAGCCTCCCTGCAAATCAGTCAGCCTGCGATGGCAACTGACAGAACCCATGGTGCACCTGACAAACAATGGACCGTGTGCTCTCTGGTTTCCCAGCCTGTGGCCCTCTATCTTCCAGGTGACTCTGACCTACATCCCAGGAGACTTTGCAGCGGGACCAATCCTCTCTCCTTGTTCCGGCCCTTCCCCATTTCAATTATTCTCTTTTTTTGTTCTGCTTTCTCAGTACTTGAAAATGCATCCTTTTCTACTAACAACATTTGATCAAATGATTTTAAAACCAGATGAAAAAATGATTAAAAGATTGTATAATTTTCTTTTGGACATGAAAATGGAAGATGAACAAGCTAAGGAAACTATAACATGGGCACAAAATTTTGGATTTTTGATTCTAAGTTACACAAATGGAAAATGCTGTGGGAAAGAAATATTAAGATAACCTTAGCAATTTCATATAAAGAAAACCTTTATAAAATGTTTTACAGATGGTATATCGCCAAATTAGCGAAAATGTTTCCAAATCTGTCAAATAGATGTTGGAAATGTAAACACCAACCTGGTACTTTTTATCATATATGGTGGACTTGTGTTAAGACAAAAAAATATTGGGTTATTTTTCCTCATACACAAATGGCTTGAGGAAATGCTACAAAAACCTTTAACATTTAAACCTAAAGTTTTTTTTATTATGCATTATTCCTGATGACTTTGATAAACAAGCTATATATTTGATTTTACACGTAATTACTGCAGTGAGGATTGCATTTGCCCAACATCGGAGAAGTGAAGAGCCACCTACCAAAGAGTTGATTTTAAAAAAGATTTTGGATTATGTGGGTATGGACAGATTGACCTTGTCTTTGAAGAAGGAAGATAAGTACTTCTCTCAAACTTGGAACTCTCTTTATTACTGGTTAGAGAAACGGGACGATGCGTGGAATTGAATATGGTTAGAGTAAGTCAGCCCAGTATGTCCGATGTCTTGAGTAATTGTTGTTTTAGTTTTAGATTTGCAGAGACAATAATAAAATTTGGAAAAAAGAAAATGCGTCCTTTTCTCTCTGCTAGGTTTTCACAAGCACACACCTGCTGCTATCTGGCCTAAGGGAGGGAGCTAGCGCTCCGTACGAGAGGCACACTTTCAGCTTCTCTCCTTCTGAAGATGCTCAGAGGAGGCACCACCAGAGGGAAAGCCTCTGCGCAAGTTCCCTTGACAGCCCCGTGCTGCAGCAGGGAGCACGGATGGGGCAGCCCTGAGGAGAAAGGGGAGGCGGCCCACCATATGAAAAGAGCACGGCGCAACCGCCTGGGGGAAAGCACCAGTGTGGGTGTGACACAGACCGGCAAAGCAGCGCTCAGGGAGTGCAGGGTGTCCCCGTCTGGCCGCACTGGAGCGCCGCCTGGCACGAGAGCCCACTGGCCACCAGGCGGCCGCAGCCGGACGCAGAAAGCAGGCAGTGGCAGGCCGCACGGGGCTCAGCCGTGCGCGCCGGCCCAGCGGCCACAGTCCCCGTGCACACCCCTCCCCGAGCTGGCCGCGGCGCCAGGGGCCCGGGCACACCCAGGGCACCCTGCCCACGCCTGAGCTGCCCTGAGAAAAGCGCCCTCCATCCCGGCTGCAGGCCTTTGGCAGGGGGCCAGCATGCCGGGGGATGTGAGCGGGGGTCAGCCGGCCCCCTGCACCGCTTCAGCCCTCACAGGCTCGGGCTGTGCTCAGCCCCCAGGGGTTCACCTCCCCTAGAAGGTCTGGCCACCCGAGGGTCGATCCGACGCGCCCCGGTTCAGTGGGGCCAACCAGGTCCGCCACGCCAAGGAACCGCCCCAGGGGAGCCCCCGCCTCCTTCACAGGGCGGCTCCCACGGGCCTCCGGGGATGACGTCCTTCTGCAGCCTCCACTCCCAAGTCGACGCTCACCTCTCAATCTGGGAAAGGAACTTTGTCTCGAAAATCCCCTTCGTCTTCAGCCGCTCGGAGATGCGCCCACGGAAGAGCAGCCCGCGCTTGGTGAAATCGATCAGGATGTTCCGCACGATCTCTCCCAGGTACATCCCGCTGATCATCTTCTCAAACCTGAGGCACAGAAGGCGACGTGTGTCGTGCGAGCCCCGTCCGGCGGGTGGGTGACGGCCCCGAGCCAGGAAGGCTGCCTGTGAACCCTCTGAAGGCGCTGACACGAGCCGTGAAAGGCACAGACTGTGGCCAAGGCCACAGCCTTGTCTCCAGGACTCGGGCCCACAGTCCTGACCACAGCCGTGGGACCTCCTGCGTGTGCGCAGACTCGCGTGAGTCCTTCAGGTGTGCGTGAGCCACGCCTGAAGGAGCGAGGGCAGGGCACTCCCCCCTGGGCGTCCGCCAACCTTTGTCTCCCGGGGTTGAGAGAATTTTCATCCACCACGGCATCGAACTCCGTCCGGAAGTCGTCCAAGCAGCCGTTGTCGCCGAAGGCCCCCCACTCCATGTTGATGCACATGCGGCCCTCCTCGCCCGCCACCAGCTCCACGTTCCTCATCTCCTCCATGTAGCAGGCGTTGCTGCCTGTCCCTGCGATCCACAAAGGGAGCCACGTCACCCGCTGAAGGAGGAGCGCCAGGCACAGGGCCAGCCCCGGCCCCCCGCCTTTCCACGCCTGATGTGAGAAGGGTGAGGCGCCACTCCAGAAGGGGGCCCAGTGGACCAGTTCCCACGATCAGGCCGCCCAGCTGGGCCTCCTCCGACGGCAAGGGGCCGGGGGACGGGCACGTGGCCACTTGCGAGATCCACGCTTCCCGAGCCCAGCCTGAACGTGGCAAAGGCACACGCTGCAGTCAGCCACGCCTCGCTCTGGCCGCTGCTCATGCAAACGGGGTCGGGAAGGGGCGAAACCGCTCCCCCCTTCAGGCCTCCAGCCAAGGAACGCAAAGCTACTAGAACGATGGACAAGGAACGAGCCACATTCTTTTTCTTTGCATGGTATTTTTTACATTCGTTACAGGAGGGATATAGCCAGGTTGGAGTCAGTGCAGCGCAGGGCCACAAGGTTGGTGGCCGGTTTGCAGGGGATGCCGTATGAGGTGAGACTGAGGGAACTGGGTCTCTTCAGCCTGGAGGAGAGGAGACTCAGAGGGGATCTGTTGGCGACATGCAGGTATGTGAGGGGGTGTCACACGGAGGTGGGCAGAGACCTGTTCTCCCCTGCAGAGGAAGGCAGGACGCGCTCCAAGGGAGCCAAGCTCAGGGAACCCAGGTTCCCTTTAGGTGTCAGGAAGCCCTTCCTGACAGTCAGGACCCCGAGGGGGTGGAATGGGCTTCCACAGGAGGTGATTGAGGCCCCATCGGTGCGGGTGTTCAAAGAAAGGCTGGACATCCACATGGTGGGCATGTCGTGAGAGGAGCCGGCTGGAGCCGGGGGTCAGACTAGATGGCCCAGGAGGTCTCTGTTTCTATGTTTCTATGCATTTGGTATTTTAATACATTTTATTATTTTTTAATTAACACTGTCTGCATTTAGTTTTTTCTGGTTTATTTTGATGCATGTGCCACAGACCCTGTTGCTCCATGCCTGGTTTCTGACCCGTGTTTTTGAAGCATGGAATTGCCCAAGCCTTTTGCCAGGGCACATGCGAGCTGTGGGTGGACAGGCATGCAAAAACGAGGTGAGAGAGTGCCTGTGAACCATGGAGGTATGGAAAGGGAGGACTACAGTGCTGGAGGAAAGGTTTTGCCAGCGGACATCATTAAACCTGAATTTCCCACTGCACAAGCATAGCAGAGGGACCTTAGTCCCTCAGGCTTAGAAAATGAAAAAGCAAGCACCTAGTCCTTATGATAACCTGTGATCAATGCTCAAAGTAATTCCAGAGGCCTACGGGGCTGAATGGGACTGCCAGAGGTAGCAACATGAAGTCTTTGCGGTCATGCACACCCCCCCCCCACCACCATGCACCTCCCAAAGGGCATTGGGAACACACTGGGGAAAATCAGCAGACATGGGCAGCTTAGCTTTATTCATCTCGAACAGCCTTGAGTTCACAAACTTGGGTGGTTTTCTATGTGGAGAGCGCACAAAGCCAAAGAATACCCCTTCTTAAGAAGCGAGCTGTAAAACTTACCCACAATGAGCCCAACTTCGCAGAATGGATCCTCGTACCCGCAAGTCATCATGGTGCCCACGGTGTCGTTCACAATGGCAACCACGTCCAGGTCAAACTCCTGAGGAGCACAGAAGCAGCTGCTCTTAGATACCCTGGCAAACCAGCGCCTCCCCCAGATCCTGGGGGCAGGGGACCCACAGCACAGATGCGGTGTGGGGAACTCGGGATCCCATGCGCACCCGTCTGCGCTGCAGCTGGCAGGGGCAAGGTTTGCTGACCAGGAGAGCCTTCTTTTTCCTTTCTGAACCCCCTTGTCAGTTTTCTGATCACAGCAAGGTAACTGCATCAGCAGACCCAGACCTGCCCCTTGGGCCAACTGTGCCTCCGGGTTTGTATCCCCCGGGCTCCTCGGGGAGGAATTTCTTTTCCGCCAAAGGCCCTTGCGAGCGCATGACTCCTGGCGCCTGACACGGACGCACCTCTCTCCTGCGAATGGCCTCTTTCAGCAGGCCCACCACATCCTCTCCTTCGCAGCCAGTAGCGTTGAAGCCTTTGGTCCACTGTACCAGGATGCCCTTGGGGTGACACAGAGGCAAGACGAACGGAAGCGCAAGGTCAGAACGCATACGCGATGGAGGAAGGAGCGGTGCCTGCACGCGCTCGCAGTGCTTCGAAGGGCACCAGCAGAGCTGCGCAACCCACTCCGAGCCTCGCTGCTCCAGGGTGTCCGGAAGCCCCGCGCTGGGGTTGCGCAACCCGGAGCCCCAGCCCGTCCCACCCACCCGCCCGCCTTGGGTGCGCTGCTGATTTGTGGCGACCAGTTCAAGGCACGCTTCCCAAATGCAGCAAAGCGCTTTCTCCCAAGACATTTGGTCCTGCTCAGATGGAAGCACGGCCACTTCCTGCCATCTTCGGCCAAATCACATGGAAAATAATCTGCAGTGATGCGTCAACATCTGTTTGTTTGTTTGTTTATAGCTTTTCTAGGCCACCCCTTAGCGTGGCCTCAGGATGGTTTAAGAATATAAAATAAAACACAGGGTCCTAATAAAATTTCCAAACAGCAATAAAACCCCTAATAAAACAATCAGATCTTAAAACATTGAGAAAATAAAGGGGTTTTAGCCTGGTGCCAAAAAGAACAAAGTGACAGCGCCACACAAACCTCTCTGGGGTGTGTGTTGCACAGTCGTGGCGCCCGCACTGAAAAGGCCCTTCTCCGGGTAGCCACCCTCCTGCTCTCCTTCAAGGAGGGCTCCCAGAGAAGGGCCTCTGCCCCAGAGCTTAAGGGGTGGGCAGGGTTTACCGCCCTCCATAAAAGCACAAGCTATTCCTGACAGGCCTTGTGCGATTGCCCAGCTTCAGATTTTGGCCAGGATTTCAGATGCAGAAGTGATCCGGGAAGGCGCTGTTCTGGCACACAGCACTGCTCTGGGGGCACGAGCCTTCCAAGCAAGATGGCCACGCCGCCAGAGGGTGCGGGTCTGCAGGATGTGTGGGGGGGGGGCATGAGGAGGGCTGGCATTCTCCACGGGAGGGACTGGGCCCTGGCAGGAGGACAAGTGCCACAGACTTCGCTGGACTCCCCGACTCAGCACGGGGAAGGGCCTTGCAAGGGCTTCCTGCACCGCTTGGCGCATCTTTGCCTGAGCACCCTGCTGAGAAGCAAAATGGCATCTCCAAGAAGCTGAATGGAACGGATTGATCTCTGAACTGAAAGTATTTGGAGCCAGGCTGCTCCCTGCCCCCGTCCTTTTTCAAGATCCCGTTTGCAGAAGGTTTTCTGCCATTTCTCAGTATACCATTAACGTGGCAAGAGCGAGCCACTATGGGTTCATGCACTGCAAACATCCCTGAATGTTTCCCCCAGCAGAACAGCAAATGTTTTGGACTGGGCAGCGTGCCATGCCCAGGATAAGCGAAAGTGGAGGAGTGAATGTGAGAGAGAAACCAGCTGACGCTCACCTCGTCCAGGCTGTTTTGCTGACAAGGGAAGGAGAAGGTGAATCCAAGAGGGAGCGACACCCCTTTCATTCCCATGTATTCCAAGAAGTCGGAAATGCAGTGGACGATGTGATCGAAGAGCTGGAAAGCGGGAAGGCCATGCATTGAACACAGCTACCGGCCAGACGGGGGATGCCTCTGCTGGCTGCGCAAACCCTCGTTCAGTGGCAAGCCGCACCTGCAGCACCGCCAACTCCCTCCCCGTGCTCTTGCTCACTGGCTTCCTCGCCGCAGGAGCGGGGGCACAGTCTAACCGGGACAGGGTTCCTTCTGGGGAAGCAGGATCCAATGCAGGATTTCAGCTAATTCTTGGGGTGCCGCCTGGCACGAGGGGCCTTCCACCCCTGCGCTGAACTCCCAGACACGCAGCAAAGCAGCACACAACTGTCATGTTCAGGTCCCAGGCTCGCAAATGAGGGCTGCCGTGCAGGGAAATGGTTTTCGGCTAAACCCGAGAGCACGCTTGAAGGGGCAGGCGAGGCGACGGTGGCCCAGGATGCCTTGGGGCGCGTCCGGGCCGGGCCGGGCCGGGCCGGGCCTCGTAGCTGCATCCTGCGTTGTGTGGCGCGCCCGGAGCAGCGGGTTGGGCTCGGTGCTCCACTGCACCCCTTCCAAGCCTAGGAGGCTGAGGGTTGGGGTGTGGGTGCCCACGGCCCTGCCGCATCTTGTGAGCTGCTTTGGGAAGGGGGCAAGAAACACATGCCCAGCCGTGCACAGTTACTTTACACAGTGTCAGACTCTGGTCCTGCTGCTCTTTCTCCTGCAAGTTTGCGCCCCCCCCCACCCCACCCCCGGAGCTCTCTCACCTCGTCTCCTGTCCCCTGCATGATTTCCTGGGGGATCGAGTAGATCTTGTTGTGCATCTCCACGCTGCGTCGCAACCCACTGCGTATGCGCACGAGCAGCACCCGGAAGTTGGTGCCCCCGAGGTCCAAGGCCAAGAAATCCCCTTTTTCTGAAACAGACGCGCATTGCCCTGAGAGGACCTGAACCGCCCCGAACGTCAGGGTCTGTTTCCGCGGGTGCCGACACAGCCTCGCAGCCGGCCCTCCTGGCCGTGCCTGGGATCCACTGGCCCAGCACACTGCAGCAGTACTGAGAGGGAGGGGCACGGAGCCCCCCAGCACTGGGCCAGACTGCCTGCAGTTAAAACACCCACAGGGCAAGCCGCGTGTTTCCGACCACAAGCAGGTGAAGGAAACCCACGCAGGCCCAGCGGCAGCAGGGCACTGGGGCAGACCTAGGGGGTGGCAAGCACGGCGGCTGCCTTGGGTGGACGCCGGGGCACCCAAGGTGGCGAGGCCATCTGCCCCAAGGGCCCAATCCACTGGGAAGGTCTCCTCCTCGAGGCCTGCTGCACGGGGTCCAGAAGAGAGACAAGGCCAGCAGAATGCAATCCCGGGTCAGCCGCACTCCGCCCCCTGCCCACCCGGTCCAACCTGCCACGCATAAACGGGGCAGGAAGCAAAAACGGGCTCCCCAAAAGGAGCTGCGCTTGGATTCCGCTTTGCGTCTGTGCCTCCCTCGCCCCTGCGAACGCCGCTCGTTTCAAAAGTCCCGCAGAAAGGGGGGCTTTCTCACCGAGTAAGACATGATGGACGCCAGCCACACACGTATCCCCCCCCTCGGCAGCAGGAGGGGGCTTCCAGACCAGAGCTGCTGAAGAGTGCCAGCTGTGGCAGTCGGCGTCACAGGCGCCGCTACCCGGAGCCAGGGATGCTTCTCGGCTCGCACGGAGCCCCCGGCAGCCTGCGCGGTCCTTCCCCTCCTTTCTGCTCTAGCCCCGCAACGACCCCGAGGAGCCGGCGAGGCGCCATAGAGCTGGGATCTCCTGAGCCGCGGCCCAGTGCTCCGGCCACGGCGCGGCTCCGGCACTGCCAAGCGAGGCACTCCTGCCCAAGAGCGCAGCCGGGCCCCAGGCGCCCCAGGCGCGCTCACCTGTCCCGTCGGGGGTGGAGCACACGTAGGTGGGCAGCATCCTCACGGTGGCCTGGCGGTGGGTCTCCCGCGCCAGCCCCCGCCCCATCTCCTGCCGCATCCTCTGCTTGACCTCCAGCAGCTGCTTGGCGCTGAGCCGGAGCGGCTCCAGGATCTTCTGCCGGGCCTTGTGCTGGGCGGCCAGCCGGTAGGCCACTGCCGTGACCATGGCGGCCCCCTTGCCGCTCCCGTCCTCCGAGCGGATGAACCGGACGTCGCAGTCGGGCACGAGCCGGCGCACCGTCTTGTGGAGGCGGCGGGCGAAGCTGCGCGAGGCACCGGCGAGAGAGTCACACAGGGCACCGCAAGGAGGCTGCCGCTCCCCCGCAGCCCGAGCCCCGCTCAGCCAGCCCCTGCCCCGTCCAGGCCGCGGTGAGCACCTTGCGGGGCCGGGGGGCAGCTCGCCTCTGCCCAGTCACCTGTTCTTGCCGTCTCCCTCCTGCCAGAGGCTCAGGGGGGCGTACCAGGTCCTCACCCGCCTCCCCGTGGACGGCCCAGCACTTACTGTGGGTGCTTCTTGTACACGGTGCCGTCCACCCCGACGGTGGAGCGCAGCCGGTCGAGGCCCTTGTTCTCCTTGATGCGGCGCAGCACGGCCGCCAGCGCAGCACCGCAGAGGTTTGCCGAGCGGGTGGAGACGATCTCGCAGATGCGCTGGGTGGCCACGCAGTCTTCGTCCGAGGGCTCCAGGCCCAGTTTCTCCAGGATCTCCCTGGCCTTAGAGAGGCCCTCCGTCTCCCTGCGGGTGCAGACAGGGCCGTGAGGGCCCCCTTCCTGCCTAGCAGGAGGAGGCTGCACCCGAGGACCACTAAGCTGGCAGCGGCATGTGGCCCAAGGGGCTGGGCTGAAGCGGGACCCTGCTGGGGAGCCCTGCAGCCGGCCGTCCCACGGCCCCTCCTCACTTCCCAGGCCCACCTTGGCTGCCTGCCCCATGGCTGGACCCCACCGGAAGGGGTGGGAGGGCTTGAGGCGAGGGTGCTTGCGGCAGGACAGCCCAGGGCCCACCCAGCCCGTCGGTCTGCTCACACCAGTGGCCGACCAGCGCCCGTGGGAGGCCTGCAGGCTGCGCAGGAGCACGGCGGCCCGTTGCGGCCACGCATCCTCCCGAGGCCTCCCCGGTTCATGCCCACACTCACTTTTCAATGGCAGACACGTATTTGGTCTCGAAGTGCCCCGTGGTCAGCAAGTCAGTGGTGAGCCTCCCGTTGAACAGGAGCTCTTCCTTGGCCATCTTCACCAGGATGAGTCTGACCAGCTCGCCCATGTACATCCCGCTGATCATCTTCTCAAACCTGCAGTGCGAGAGCGAAGGGGAGCTTGGCCAGCGCACGACCAGGAACTCCGGCGGGCCAGAAGCCACCTGCCAGACGGGCAGTTTGCTGGCTCGTGACCCTGGGGAAGAAACTCCTTCGCCAGTGGCAAAGGAGGACATGCCTTCCGCCCGTGTGGGCCAAGCAGACATTGGCACACACTCCCTGCCCCACTCTCACACGGAGGGGGGCAGGGACCTGTTCTCCCCTGCGGAGGAGGGCAGGATGCGCTCCGACGGAGCCAAGCTCAGGGAACCCAGGCTCCATTTGGATGCCAGGAAGCCCTTCCTGACAGTCGGGAGCCCGAGGGGGTGGAATGGGCTTCACGGGAGGTCGTTGAGGCCCCATCGGTGAGGGTGTCAAAGATAGGCTGGACGTCCACATGGTGGGCATGTCGTGAGCGGAGCCGGCTGGATGGCCCGGGAGGCCCCTTCTGACTCGCTCTGTTTCTATGTGTCTGTTTCTCACGCCCCATAGAAAGTGGGTTGCAAGCGGGAGCAAACTTGGTCAGGCTGATGTGGAACTTGCTCCCCGCAACAGCTTCCGCAATGCAGGTGTCCATGTCCTGTAATGTCCGGAGGCGTCCATCTCATGCCTGCTGCATGGCGTGCCCAGATTCAGAACGCGCTTTTTCCGCAAGGGCCACCCGCAACAGAAGCCGCAGCGGGGGACGCTCTCGGCATCGAGCTGAAGGCTGGCAGTGGAAAGCCGAAGGTTGGCTGTCCGGGCTGCTTCCTTCCCCTCCCACCTGACACACAGAACCATTCAGGCCCTGCATTACACAGCGCCGAACGCGAGGGACACCCCTCAGTACTCGGCAGGCCCAAACGACTCCTGGCTCAGGACATTTAAGCTTGCTGCAGACGTCCCCCGAGAGAAAAGTGGTGCTGGAGGAGACCTTATTCTCAAGCGTGGGCTGGCCCTTCCCGGAGGCGGCCGGGGACCCTGCTACGCCATGCAACCTGCCCACTGGGCATGTGGAAGCGACACAGACCTTGCACCCAAAGGTGACATTAAAGGCACGGACCCAGCCCGGCCGAGGCGCTCTGCTTACAGCTGCTTGCCCTGGTTGAGCGATCCCATGTCGATGTCCTTGTCAAACTCCGTCCGGATATCGTTGAGGGACCCATCGTCTCCAAACGCCCCCCACTCCATGTTGATGCACATGCGCCCCTCGTCACCCTCCACGAGGTCAATATGGCGCATCTCCTCCATGTAGCAAGCATTGGAACCCGTGCCTAAGCACAGAGTGGGAGAAAGAGGCAGCTGAGGGGGAGCTGAAGGCAACAGGCACGTGCGACTCTCGGCCCTTCCTGCGCGTGACTTTGCCCGGCTGCCCGAGGCGATTGGCCAAATGAAAAATGCCAGAAGGGGCCAAATAGGAGCACCGTCCCCACGCAGAGGATCCTGCTAATGGCAGCTCGGAAGAGCTTCCGCGGGGCAAAGGCTGCAACCGAGCTGAGGGAAGCCTTCAGGCGGCCCAGGACTCCGAAGCCGTTGCAAGTTCCAACGACTCTGGGCCAGGGAAATCCCAACCCTGCGCGAACTCTGCATCCCCAGAGCCCTTACCGACAATGAGCCCGACTTCACAGTTGTGATCATCGTAGCCACAGGCCATCATGGTCCCAACAGTGTCATTCACCACAGCAACGACATCGATGTCAAAGTCCTGCAACACGGGACGTAGAGGAAAGCCGGCTGTCTCTTGGGGTGCCAGGCCTGCCGTGCCCCCGCCTCGCCCGCCCCGGCGCCAAGCTCCGCGGGAAGCAACGGTGGGCGGCACACAGGGCAGGTCCAGCCCTCCCAGCCCAGCCCTGGCCCCAAACCCGTTTCCCATCTGGCGCGAGGAGCAAGCCAAAGACCTGCGGGGTGCGAGTCCTCGAGGAACGCAGGCTGCGCGGAGGCGAAGGGGGCCAGGGAGCTCCCCTGTGACCTGGCTGAGTGTGGCCGGCTGCCTTGCGGGTGGGGATGGAGCAGCCATCAAAGAGCTTCGCTCAGACCCGGGGGCACCGGGGCCAAGAGATGCTGCTGCCGGAAGCAGGCTTCCGACGCTCCTCAAGGACGGGGGACCAGGCACCAGCAGCCGCTGCTTCGCGCCCTGCTGCCCACCGCCAGGAGCTGTGGGCGGACGGTGACCTGTGGCAGGGAGAGCCCTGCTCGGAACCCCCACGGATGGCGCAACCTCCACCGCAACCGTGAGCGCGCAGGGGACAGAAACTACTGCTATCTGCAAAGAGCGCGCTGGGGCGCTGCTCCGCCAGGCCAGCGCTGCTGTGTGACGTGGCCTGGCAGGCTCTGGAGACCATGGGAGACCACGAACCCTGCTCAGCGGGGGGGGCCGGGGCAGGAGCGCATCACCTGCCCTGCAGGCCCGGCCGCCTGTCTCCAGCTACAGCACCACAGGAAGCCACTGGCGCGGGGTGGAAAAGCACGTTTAATTACCCCTCGTCTTTTAATCGCTTGCCGTAGCAGGGAAACCACGTCTCTCCCTTCCACGCCACTGCACTTGAATCCTTTGGTCCACGTAATAAGGGTGCTCTGTCGGAGAAAAAGAAGGCCGAGCCGGAAGGAGTGATCTCCCAGGGAGGCAGCCGGCGGCGGGATCTGAGCTGCATTTCGGCCCAGGCTGACAGAGCTAGTTCTGTGTCGCGGCGGCTCAGCAGTCGCCCCCAGATCAGCCTCTTCTCCCCACTGAATGCCTCCTTCCACGTGCTGCGCTCCCTTGTGCTTTTATTTATTTGTTTGTGTAAAGTTTTTCTGTGCCATCCCCTTGCTACATGGCCTCGGGACGGCTCACATAAATGAATGAATGAATGAATGAATGAATGAATGAATGAATGAATGAATAACAATTACAGTTAAAACCTGGAAACACACTGGCTGCACATTTAAAATCTATAAATATTAAACATTATTAAAATACTGTTTGAATGAAAAGGTCTTGGCCTGGCGCCAAAAAACAACGACGGCACCAGGCGGACCTCTCTGGGGAGCGCATTCCACAGATGAGGCGCCACCGCAGAGAAGGCCCTCCTCCGGGTACTCTGCCGCCTGATGTCTCTCCCGGAGGGCTCCCAGAGCAAAGCCTCTGCCACCGACCTGAAGGGGCGGGAGGGCAAATATGGCCGCAGGCGTTCCTTCAGATATCTGGGTCCCAAGCCGTTAAGGGCTTTATAAGTGATTACCAACACATTGAATTGAGCCCAGACTTCAATGGAAAGCCAGTGAAGCTGGTGGAGGACTGGGGTTATATGAGAATAACGCCCAGTCCTCGTCAGCAACCTGGCTGCTCTATTTTGCACCATCTGAAGTATCTGGGCTGTCTTCAAGGGCAGCCCCATGTAGAGCACGTTACAGAAATCCAACTGGGAAGTAACCAATGCGTGCGTCACTGTCGCCAGGCAGTCGTCCTCCAGGTAGGGACGCAGCTGATGGATCAGCCGCAGCTGATGGAAAGTGCTCCTCACCACCAGCAGAAGCCATTCCTTGTCTTGGGAATGTTCCGGTGTTCTCCGCCACCCTCACAAGGTCCCTGCGAGGCCGGCCAGCACAAGGTGCTGCCGTCAGGAGCGGCATGGAGCAGCTTGGGCAAAAGCACCCACTGGTGGGGCAAGTGGGCGAAAGAGGAGCATTTGCACCGTTCCCAGGCCCTGTGGCCCCGATGCTGTGAAGTCCTGCCAAGCGCCAGACAAGCGGGGTAAGAATCCCACTCACCTCATCCAGTTTGCTCTGGGAGCAGGGGAAGGAGAAGGTGAAGCCCAGTGGGAGCTTCTTGTCCTTCATCTGCAGCTGGTCCATGAAGTTGGCCAAGCATTCGGCAATGTGGTCAAAGAGCTGATGGAGAGAGAGAGACATACAGGGATGCGGACGGGGGACACCGTCTTCGATTCTCCTCTGCACCAGGAGGCTACCCTCAAAAGACACAGCCTTCATTTCGGTTCCAAAGGCAAATGCAGAGTGAACTAGGAGTTGAGTTTGAGCACCATTCCCTGTACGGCTATATGTTTTCCTAAGAGCTGCAAAGGTGCAGAAATGGCAGAACAAGCCCCGAGAGCTTTCAAAATGCTGACTGTCAGAGTGAGGCGAGGAGGAGTAGGGCCATGCAGGGCACACTTGGCTCCTTGGAGGAATGGCGGGGTGGCTATCAGCACAAGAACAGGACGTACACAGCTCTTCTCGTGCTGGAACACCGGCTCCTAGGCCGCCCAGCCTGCGGATGTCCACCTGCCCCCACTTCTCTCCACCTCCTCTCAAGCCTTGCTCCTGATAGCAGCCAGAGGCTTTTTTACTCTTGAGTTTTGCTGTCTTTGTTTGATGTTTATGGACTTTTAAAATGTCACCATCCTATTTTAATTTCCTCCGGTGGGGTATGGCACCTTTGATAGAATACTGTGATAAAGAAAAGCGTGATAAAAAATCATGAAACTCATAAAAGCACAGTCCTTTCCCTGTTTACGCAGGGAGAACCAATTCCCAATTCAGGGAGCCTAGTATATCAGGGCACCTTTGGAAAGGGAGCAGGGAGCTGAACATTTCAATGGTTAGCCCCAGATTGGTCTAACAACTAAAACAAAAATTCTCCGGTAATTATGCCCTAACCCTAGCCCTTAGTCTAACTTGCCCAGGGGGATCAGGCCAAGAGCAATCAGGTCTAATCTAGCGACACTGCAAATTAAAGACTACAATTTTCCTTCAGAAATCTCTGCAAGGAATCTTCTGCAAGACCTCTGCCACAATGGTCGCTGAATTTTATTGGCTTCCTTCCTGAACAACTGAGGGAGGCAACGCTGAGACTCAGGATAAACTTGCCAGCACATGGAGCGTAAAGAGAAGCTTTGCAACTACCTGCACGCCGCTGCCCCTCATAAGCTCCTCGGGAATTGTGTAGATCCGGTTCTCCATTTCTACTTTCTTGCTGCCATTATCAGACACCTTGACTCGCAGCACCCGGAAATTCGTGCCTCCAAGGTCCAAGGCCAAGAAATCTCCTTCCTCTGAGAGGGGCAAAAAGACACGAGGCCCGTTTTATCCACCCATCAAGTGCCAACTCAGGCACGCAAGTGAAAAGCCCTCCACGGTGTAACGGGCCACATTCAGTTCACCTGATCTGCGGAGCCACGCGGCAGCAACTGTGGGAGAACTGACCGCGGATCCCTGCTTTGGCGTCTACCTGTGGCACCAGAGGGAGAATCAGATTCAGGAGAATCTCTGGTCTCTTGGCCCCCCAAACACCTCTTTCGTGAGGGATTATCTAACTCACCACCATTGGCAGGTGGTGCGAAATGGCTCACGCGCCTTTTAGGCATGTGTTTCCACAAGGGCCAGTGGTTGCTTCTTTTTGTGGAAAGGTTACCAGTTGGATACATTTTGTACTGGAAAGTATCTGAGATTCCCTGATGTACACTGGCTTTAGCATTATTACCACCTTCCTGGAAATGAGCAGGTCAGCAGTGAAGCGTCTGCTTTGGGTGCAAGCAGCTGCCGGGTGAGGTCTGAAAAACGTCCTTCCTGAAACCCCGGAGGAGCTGGCAGCACTGCTGCTCTCCTGGAAGGGGCCGGGGGGCTGATGGCTCAGCCCAGCAGCACACGGACTGTTTGCTTCCTTTGGGCAGCTCATCTTGCAGGAAGAGAAACGGGCAGGATAACACAGGAAAGTAGAAACAGAAGTTTACCTCACATGTTCCCCCGCTGAGGAGCATGCGATTGCCAAGCCAGCACTTCCGGCATCTCGGGGGGTCAGGCTGCTGGCTGACAGTCAAGCACTTAACCCTTCCTCCTCCAAGCGGTGATGGTCAGCCAGAGCTGGTGTGTGCAGAACGGCACTGAGCGCCCTCACTGGCTCAGCATCGTTTGGACTGAGCCCCACAGATGCAAAGGGCCATTATGCCAAGGCATGCAAGGGGCCGTGGTCCCCCACCCCTTTCTTAGAAGCTGCCCTGAGAGCTTTGGCTATGGGCAGCACAGAAAAGAGATAAATAACTATCATAGGAGTCCTGAAGGCAGTATGAAGAGCACCTTCCCTGCTGTTTCTCTCTGGGTTTTGCAAGTTTTTCTAGTAAAATGTCTGTATGTACCACAAGCAGCTCGACCTCCTAAATCATTCCTCAAAAGCTATTTTCTGCCTCCACCTTGACATTATTCCCCAGGTGGACAATGGTAAAGATCAGAGAAACAAAAAGTATTTCTGCCAAAAGCCTCAGTTATGCAAGGAAGACGCACCGCATCTGTGTGGCCACGCCGACATTTTTAGCAACTGACACCTTCCCGAACAGAGCTTGGGCGACAGACAGGTGCCCCGTCCTTTCCCTAGAGCTTACCTGTCCCATCAGGGGTGGAACGCACGTATGTGGGCAGCATTTTGACAGCAGCAGTTGGGTTGGTGTCTGCCGCAAGGCCCTTTTCCATGTCCTTCCGGAACCGATTCGAGATTTCCTGTAGGGTGTCATCTGAAAGCCGCATATGATAGAGGTACTTGTCAATCTGGAGGAAGGAAGGAAAGAGGAAGCGCGAGTCAGTGGAATGATGGAAAGCAAAAGCAGACGTCCTCCCTTGAAAAGCCGCGATGGCGGCCCTGCGTTCCTCCAGGCCTCTCCAGAAGGGATGGGAGCCACAGCCGCCCACTCGGAATACACAAGCCATGCATAACGCAACGCAGCTCGCAAGCCACACAAGTGTTGCGCATCCCTCTCAGAAGCCCTGTTCAGAGACCACAAGGCACAGCCTGGATCTTCAAAACCCACCCGGCGGCGCCACGTCGCATGGCATATCTATGCACATTGGTACCTCGGCTCACGAACTTAATCCGTCCCACGACTCTGGTCGTGACCCAAACTGGTCGTGAGCCAAGTCCAATTTCCCCCTAAGGGTCATTGTAAGGAAGGTTGATCCGTTCTGCAACTATGTTTTTACTCACAAAAATTTGAAGCCAAGTGACAAAGAACAACAAAAATCGCGGCCATCTCGCCCTCCTCCCAGCGATCGCACGGGGGTCGGGGGAGACGGGCACAATTGTGGGCGTGCTGGGGGAAGGAGGCACGATCGCGGGCACACGGGAGGGGAGGCAGAAGCGCTGGGGGAGGTGGGCGCGCTGGGGGGCAGGCAGGCACGGGCGCAATCGCGGCCATCTCCCCCCCCAGTCGTGCTTGTGCAGGGAAGGTGGGCACGCTCGCGATCATCACCCGATGCAGAGTTCGTGACCTGCGGCAAAATTTCTATGAAATTTCTGTTCGCGACCCGATTTGGTCGTGAACTGAGGCGTCCGTGAGCCGAGGTACCACAGTATTCATCAGATCTAGCCCCCCCCCCCCACCTTTCCAAAGAACTCAGAGCAGCAGCATCCTCTCCTCCTGCTGCTCTCCATCTTTTCCCCACAGCAACCTTGAGAGAGAGGCTGGGCTGAGAGTCCGTGACTGACCCAAAGCCACCCCACTGGCTCCCTGGCTGAATCTGGGGCCTGCCCCCGTCACCACTACAGTGTGCGGGTTCGCCACAAGCAGCAGATTGTGCAAACTGGGAGGTGGCGCTCCACAAGCGACCGGCTGCACTGCGGGCATGCACTCAGCCGAACAAAACCTGCCGGTCTCTCTCCACAGCCTGATCAGGATCTAGGAATCCCGCTCAGGCTCCAGGGCTGCGAGGGACTCTCGCAACCTCCGCCTGAGGAGAGCCACCACCCACCCTCTTATCACCAGAGGTCAAAAGACCACGTCAGCCAAAAGGCAGTTTGTGCGGCTTTGCAGTATGAAGGGCCATATTAAACCTGAGCGAAACAGCACCTGCCTTACCCCCCTGCATTCTCCAAGGCGACCCGGCCCTCTGAATGTTCCGGCTGCTCTGCGCCTCTTGGAGATTTGGTCAGGGGGGCCCCGTGCGGACACATCCAGTCACAGGAAGAGAGCCAGAGAGAACTCCTGGGTTAGAGCAGGACCACTTTCTGAGTTTTCCCACTTCCGTGGCAGCGCGTTCTTTTTTTTTGAAGGGACTGTAGCAGTCAGTGTGCATGTCTGGTGCTCTTTTTTTCCCAAATGTGGCAGAGACCTGACAAGACCTGTAGAGCCGGCGCTGATAATTATATATCGCCAAGAAGAAAACTATCCCCCAAATTATACAGCTATACTGAAGAAGTGAATTTCCAACTCATACTTTAATACATTCTATTTTAAAACATCGTCCCCAAGGGATGCCCAGAACAGAACCAAGTCAGATCAGAGCTGGAAAAGCCGGCCGGCATGTAGGGCAACCCGCCGGGACTCGTTGAAGCCACACGGAGAGTCCAAGCCAGGCCAAGGGACAAATGAGGTGAGGCTCGTGCCATGGGAACGGCAGGACTTGAGCCGCCTTGCTCAACACAGGGCCCTACAGGCATCAGACTACAAAGCTTATCATCCCCAGCCAGGACAATGGGAGGTGGTAGCAGGCTGGAGAAGGCTGCTCTGGAAGTGGCGCAAGCGGCTGGGCAGGAAAGAGTCAGAAACGCAGGCTCACAGCTCTCGCAGGGCAGGGCAGGGCAGGGCAGGGCAGGGCAGGGCGCAGCCGTGGACTGGCCTCCTTCCCTCGTCTCTTCCTGAATGTTGGCAGCGCCTGCCTCATCAATGCCCTAGCCTACAAAGGAGAGTGTCAGCCCGTGCACAGGGAGCAGGAAGTGTTTATTTAACCACCCAACTTTAGCTAAATTAAAATGCAGTTGAAGTTCACGCCAGACTACTGACGAGCATCGGGCTGTGGGCATGACCAGGGCCACCCAAGTCTGCCTGGCCAGCCACAGCCCGGCTGGCGCAGAACAGCTCTGGCGCGCCAGGGAGTCCGGCTTCATTTTCAGGCTCGTGCCTGCCAAATGACCTGGCAAACATTTGCTTCCTTCTGCGGAGTTTGCTGCGCTTTGATATCCTGGTTTAGAAGGACAAAGCCACCTGGGGCAGCGCAGGGGGAGCTGTGACGTGGCCAGAGGACACTGGGCTGAAGGCCGGCCCGGCGGAGGAAAGGGCCAGCTCCTCAGGAGCCAGACAGCCGTGCTGGATCAGAACGCGGTTCTGCAGCACAGCCGGGCGAGCAGTGGGTTGGTGCCCACCTGGGCGGGCACCTGCAGCTCCTGTGCGCCCTCACCATGGCATGTTAGCCAAAACAGCTGGAGGGCCACAAGTCTAAATTATCCTTATGTGAAGAGGGAGAATATCCTGTTCTCCCCAGCTAGGCTTCTTGGAACCTCCACTTACGGGTGAAACCATTGCTTTGCCTGTCAGAGGCTCGGGATCGATCCCCGAATGCTTCTCTGGGCAGGCCCGGAATAAGTCCCCGCTGCTGCCGTTTGGGGACAGCTCGAGGAATTAAATGTGGGCTTCCTGCCAAGGCAGGCAGCAGCATTTCTAACCTGGGGGGGGGGGGGGAGTCTCAGCAGGGGCTGTGGCAGTGACATCCTAGAAAGCTTGTCACCAGGGCCTGTCCAGGTTTATTCCCAACCGGAAGAGGGAGGAAGGCTTTGCTCAGAGACGAGGGAGACACAGAGGCTGCAAGAGTAAATGCCCAGTTGGACGCTCTCCTATATTCCGTCCACCAAATATCATGGAATGAGAATTCTGGAAAAAATGAGCCAGGCAACCTTGCTGCCGTGGCCGAGTCCGGGCAGTGCTCCTGCCTCTTCTCCTGAAAGCCCCAGGTCACCCACTCTGACCGGCAGCTGCGCTCTGGGCCACACCGGCTTTAGACATCCCTGCAGCCATTTGGCTGGGAGGATTTTCTAGCATCGCATTTCAACACTGAGAGCCGGTGCGCTGCTCCGTCTCCTGGACTGGGGGCCTGGGGGCTCCAGGCTCTTTTGTTCTCAGTTCCCCGGAGAGCTTTGATGGTGTGGCAGTACAGAAACAAAGTAAGTAATAGGAAGCCCTGCTCAGCCGGGAAGCTCGTTCGGTAACTTTGGGCCAGTCACAAACTCTTAGCCTAGCCTACCTCACAGGGATGTTGTGAGGATAAAAGCCCAAAGCCCAGCAAATTAAAAGGCGCTCCCCCTCTGGGGGCAAACACTCCAGCAGCCCCCTGTGCAGCCCCTCCCCACTGCTCCCTGCAGCCGATCAGTTAGACCAGTTGGGAGCTTCCGTGCTCACAAGGGTCCTCGCACTCGGAAGCGTTTCTCTCCAAATATGGCGCAAGAAAGGCAGCACCACCTCGGGAGCAGCTCAGCGCCTCTGCCTCTCGCTTTCACAATCATGTGGAGGAGGCTGCAGCTGGGAAGTCAGGATTTCCGAGAAATCAGTGCTCCTCCCTCTTCGCAATGAACAGAGCTGGAAAGGAGAAGTTTGCTCCTTGCAAACTCAGCATGAGGCGCGGCCCAGGCGACTGCCGCACCTCCCACCACGCTGGCCTCCCCGCCGAGGATCCTGCATCGCAGACTCTGGAACAGCGGCGCTCGAACCGGCCACTGAGTCCAGCCCCTGCGCAGGGCAGCACCCCAGTCACACCTCCCCGATGGCCGTCCAGCTGCTCCCTGAAAGCCTCCTGGGAGAGCACCCACCGCCTCCTTAAATGCTCTGCTCCATTACTATGTGGTCCCAACAGCCAGAAAATTTTTCCTGCTGTCCAGGTAGAACGAGGCTTCCAGTAATTAAAGGCAATTATTCCTTACTGCACAAATTGTCCTGCACCCTGCAATGATCAAGAAAAGGTGCTGGCCTTCCTCTTTGTGTCAGCCTTTGAAGTTCTTATATAGGGATATCATGTCCCCACTCAATCTTCTCTTTTTGAGGCTGACCAGTTCTTTCCATCTCTCCCCAGAGGGCTCTGTTTCTGGTCCCCGGATCACCCTTGCCGCCCTCCTCTGAGATTTTCCAGTTCGTCTGCATGTGCCTTGAAGTGTGGTGCCCAGAACTGGACCCAGGGCTCCAGATGGGACCTAACTAGTGCTGAATACGGGGGAACTGGAGCCTCACAGTTCTGGGAGCTATACTTCTATGGATGCAGCCTGGTATAGCATTAGCTTTTCTTTCTTTTTGCAACATCACATCACATTATTGGCTCATTTTCAGCTTGTTGCTCATATTCTCACTTGTAGTCTAGTTGAGCTTAGTGTTTCCCATTGTATAACTGTGCATTTGGTTTTCTTTTACAGGTGCAGAACTTGGCATTTGAAGTTCTGAACATGTCTTAGTTCTTGACAAATTGTATTGGTTCTAATAATTGGTTCTAATAATCACAATAATCTAATTGTGTTCAAGGTGTTTGCAGATTTATTATCTGCTCCAGAATTTTCCCAGGGAATGAAGTCAGACTGAGTGGTCTGTCATTCCCAGGATCCTCTTTTTTGCCCCCTTTGAAGATGGGGATAACATTAATCCAACTCCACTCAACAGGGACTTCTCCTGTCCTCCATGATCTCTCAAAGATAATAGACAGTGGTTCTGAGAGGTTTTTCGCTAGTTCCTATATTACTCTAGGAGGCAGTTCATTGGCCCCTGAATTCATTCAAAGAAGTAAGGTGTTCTTTGACCATTTGTTTCTTCATATCAAGCTTCAATCCTGACCCTTTGGTTTGCACTTCATTTCTGCCAGGGGATCAGAGCCCTGCTTTTGGGAAAGGACTGTCTCCAGCCGTTGCTTTGTCATGTTATCAATCCACCCTCCCAGGAAAAGGGGTGCAGTGTGGCTTCTGCAATGCTGCAGCCCTGCAATGCCTCGCCCAAGTTAATAGCCAGCAACGGTCTGTGCTGCTTGGAGCTTCACTCTGCTCTGCTGACGAACTGCCAGGAGGAAGAGCGGCTTTATTACAAGCTTAGTGCTGCCATCCTACACACCCCTCAAGCTGCCGCCATCCTTTCCCAAAGGGACCATTTGAAGCAACTGGAGATCAGCAGGATGGATCAGCTGCCCTGGCTCCTTCCTATGAGAGGAGGAGGGGCTGCTATTGGGAGAATCACACATTGCGAACTCGTGCCCCAGGAACGGGCCTGTGCTCTCCCTTCCCACATTCATGCCCGACACCCCGGGCCTCCGCTCCGTGGCAGAGCCCCTGCTCTGCACCCAGACCTGCCCTCCCAGCCCTTGCAGGGAGGGCTGCAGAAGCCGCCTGGCCAGGGCCACTGCGGGAGGCCCGCACGTGCTGGTCTTTGCAAAGGCCCGCGATGAGAAGCCGCACTGCTCGACAGGGTAGCCGCTCCAAGCTCCCGGCGGGGCGACGGCCAGCGTGCCTGCCCTTGAGCGCTGAGGAGCCGTGCCAGGCGCACAGGTGGGGCACGGCCCCAACAGCAGTGCGGGTTGCCATGGCACCGGGTCCCACGTGTGCGTGCCAGCAGGGAGACTCATCCTGGAAACGCTGCGGGCCTGGGGGAAGTCCCAGGGGCCTTTCGCAGCTGACGGTGAGTCAGGCTCCAGCTTGGCTGGTTCCTCAGCCTGTCACTCACACATGCCCTCATTTCACAGCACAAAGTCTGCCGCTGGCGTGCCGGGCAGGCGCAGTGCAGCAGTGCCTGGGCTGCCGGCGAAGGCCGGCAGACGTGCCACCGAGCCCTGCCCGGGAGAGGCTGCAATGGAATGGAAAGGCCTGCAGGAAAAGAGCCGCGTCTTGCAGGGAAGCAGGCCGAGGGAAGGGTGCCTGGTGAAAGTGCAGGAGCAGGACGGCGGCTGGACATCCGGGAAACACGCACCAGGACTACAGAAGAACTTCCCAGCCTGACGGTCAGCCATGAAGAAATGGAAACTCTGCATACTGCAGCTCAGTCACCCATCCAAGGGGAGGCTGCAGCGAAGAGATTAGCAGAAGAGCAGGACCTGGAAGGGCAGCGCGTAAAGGAACTAGGAAGGATCGAGTGCAAGTCCACGGGGGCCAAAGCCAAGATTATCCCAGTATACATTCCTGATCGCTTGCTGCAAAAGCTGGACAGTGAAGAAGGCTGCCGGGGAGAAAACTGCTGCCTTCAAAACGTGGTGCTGGAGGACAGTTTAGGAATACTCCAGACTGACAGAAAGACAAACCGGTCATAGATTAATAATGGAACTTGTCTTGGAAGCAAAAATAATGAAATGAGGACTATCATCATTTGGGCACATCATGAGAAGGCAATCATGGTGGGGAAAGTTGAGGGCAAGGAAGGCTCGCTATCAGAATGAGGGATCCGCTCCTCGAGTGGACACGCCGGGCTGTGAAGGGCAGGGCGTTCTGGAGGCCGTTCGCTCGGAGCCGCAGGTCTAGTCCACATGAGTGGTGAGGGATGCTGCAAAATGTGATCACAACTTTATCTGCTCAAGAGTCGCAGCAAGATAAAAGCAATGCCCACATTTAGGAGGGCCGCCCAAACCAGCCTCTTCCTGAGAGGACCTTTCTAAGATCCATGACCCAGTCCACTGCGACGATTCAGATGTTCTCCGTTTACACCAGCGCTCTTCACCGAGAAGCCGGCGGGCCGCTGGCACACCCCACACGTGGCTCTCCTCATGCCCTCGCTCTTGGCAGGAGCTGCTCCCTCCCCTCCCCGGCTGCACTTGGCCGGGGGCTGGCGCTGCAGTCCGGACAGCCGGGAGCCAAAGATGCGCCACTCGCTATTGGCCAGGCGCTCGGGGAGGTGGCAGAGGAGAAAGCAGGAGCCATGGACAAGGCAAGGCCGCCCGCCTGCGTGGCCGCGAGCCCCACAGTGGGTGGTCTGCAGTGGCGCAGGAGCAAAACTGGGTGCGGGTGAGGTGGAGAGAGGGAGCACAGCACACAGACCTGCCCCGTGCAGGGATTGTGCAGGACGGAGCAGGGCCCCTGCAGGGATGTGGGAAAGAGCCACTGCTCCAGAGCCCGAGGGACCCTATTGCGAGCCTGGAGGCTGCCAGGCAAAGGCTTGCTTGGACCACACCGGAGACCCCCAGAAGGCCGGCAGCCGAGCCGTTTCACTCGTTCCGGGGAGGTGTGGCAGCAATCTGCATGACCAGAGGCCTGGCCAGCCTGGGCCCGAGGGTTGCAGCACAGAAGGGCACCAAGCGGAAGTCCTGATCCTGCGCAGTAGCTGCTACACCACCACAGGCTGCACGGTTAAGCTACCGAACGCACCGGCACGAGGAGCCCCTCTTCTAGGTGGAAACCTGGACGCCCACGCTCCCCACCCCAGCCGTGATGCAAGGCCTGGCCTGCGCCACTGCCCTCTTCAAGAATGCGGGGGAATTTATCATCACATGCTTTCCTCTTGCAAGACTCCCGTGCAACTCATGCGGCAAAGCCACCCCGGCTGCTTCTTGCAGAGAAGGGACCGGACCGAGTCCCCCACGTTCCAGCCCACTGGCTTTCCTGTCACGACTCGCAGTCGTCCAAATGACCTCTTAGCAGGCTTTCAGGCTACCCATGCAGCTTACCACAATTACAGTGACTTTCTTAGGGAAGAGCACAATACTGCCACCCCTTTGCTTTATTTTCTACTTTTCTGACCAAGGACAGATGCTGAGATATGCTTGCAATGAAGTATACACTAAGAATGCAGAGCTGGCATCGCCGTTCGGTTTTGGCCTAGAAACCAAGGCAGCATTTGTGTTTTGAAGAATCTGTGCATACATACACATTCTCTCTCTCACACACACACAAACTTCACTAAAATATGAAAAGAATGAGGACACGGAAAGCAGGATCCTAGCAAAGGTTAACCACCAGCTGCAATTCAAGAGTTTTCCTCTGCAGCCCTTTAAAGTTTCCTCCCTTCCTTTGGGAGGAAAAATAGCTGGTGTCCCTTCTGGCAACTCTCAGCCACCTGTGTGAACCTCACCCCTGATCCCCTGGGCCACAAGCAAAACCTAGAAGACATCCGGTGACTGTGGGTGAGCCGCTTTCTGTGCTCGTACTTCCTCCTCAGAGGAGGACAAGGAAGAGGACAGTAAAAATGGAGGAGGAGGCTGTCACTCTGGGAGGCATCTGAAGGTGGCCCAGCTCGAAAGTAGAAGTGACTGAGCTTCATTCAGTCCCTGCCCGAGGCAACAGCTGCCGCTCCTCAGCCCAGCCTGCCAGCTCTGACATACAAGCCCCCCCCGCGGATCTTCAGGAAATGAGGTTTCTGCAAGCGGCAATTCCGGGAAGGCCGCTGCTGCCGCTGCAGGAAGCCCCCTTCAGCAGGGCTCTGGGCAGGCAGCCCGCCCCGCAGTCCCAGTCCTTCACACAGGTCCCTGTGCCGCTGAGGCCCCTCCGCAAGCGTGGCGTGCGGCTCAGGGCTCTTCTCCAAGGAAGGGGCTCCTCCGCATTCAAGCAGCGCCCCGAACCCCGCGGCAGCACGAGGACGGGCACCTCCCAGTGCGGGTGCGCAGCAACGGGGGGGGGGGGCTCCCGAAGAAGCGCTTCAGCGAGGGACATGGGGCTGCCCCGCCTCGGCCAGCCCTCCCGCAGCCGGCCACCCGTGCCCCCAAGCAGCCTCCGCGCCGGGGCTGGAATGCTCAGGCAGCAGCCCCAGATGGAGCGGACTCGGTGCTGACGGCCCGAAAGCTGAACGAGCCTTTACCAACAAGCGAAGCAAACGCTGGGAGTGGAAGCTTGGCTCCACATCTGCCCTCCATGCCGAGTCTTGCTTTTAGGGCACTGCCTTCTCTCCAACAGGCAGTGTTTGCATTTCTATGGGAAACTGCCGCGACAAAAGTTTTGCGAAGTCAAGAAAGCTCAGTGGTGGAAGCCCCGCAAGATCCGTCTGCCTTGGGGGGAGATGCGCTGCCGGAAGCTCCGGGCCAGAAAGCCGGCAGAGAATGGCCCCGTCTGACCGTGCCACCGGAGCCTTTGTCTGGGCTCCCTCCCGCCCCCCTCGGCATGGGACAGCCAGGAAAAGGCGGCGAAGGCGCCGTCTGACCGGCCGCTTGGGCCACCCCACGGATGCTCAGCGCCCTCGCCACCCACGGTGGGGCGCGCCGCTCGGGCGGGACAAAACGCAGCGGGCAGGATCCCGGGTCCCCCGCCGCCGAACCGCGCGCGGGGATCGGCGGGAGCGGGGGCGCATCCGCGCCTCTCCTCGCGGAGAACAAGGCGGAAAGTCCCGGCGGAGGGAGCGCACGTGGCCAGCGAGCGAGAGCCGCTCCCCGCGCGGGGCTCCGCGGGAGCGCGCCGAGCCGGACTCGCCGCGCGGGCGCGGGCCGCTCCGCTCCCCCTCCCGCCGGGCCGGGCCGGGCCGGGCCACTCACCCGCTGGACCTTGTTGTGGCTGAGCTGGGCGAAGTAGTACGCCAGCAAGTGCGAGGCGATCATGGCGCGCCGGCCGGGTCTGCGCGGACCGTCCGAGGGCTGCGCGGAGTGGCGCCCCGGCTCGCGCGGCGCGGCAGCCTCGGCGGGCTCGGCGTGACGTGGCGGGCGCGGCGCCGCCCATTGGCCCCGCGGAGGGTGTGCGGGCGGGCCGGGGCGGGGCGCGGCTGCC